CCTGCCTCGGCCTCCAAGTGCTGGAATTACAGGCATGGGCCACCACACTTGGGTTTGTGCTGCAGAAAGCTTTTCTTTCTTTCTTTTTTTGGTACTGGGGATCAAACTCAGGCCCTTCTGCTTGCAAGGCAGGCGGAAGAATCACTGAGCTAAATCCCCGGCCCCTGTTTTGCTTTTTGTACTGCTGATTGGACCCAGGACCTTCACACTGAGCTATCTCCCCAGACCATTTTATTTTCTATATTGAGACACAGTCTTGCTAAGTTTTCCAGGGTGGGGTAAAACTTCTACCTCAGCCTCTAGAGTGCTGGATTACAGGTGTTTGCAATCATGCCTGCTTTGATTTCTTCCTTCCTTTCCTCCTTTTGAGACAGTGTCTCACTATATGGTCCAGGCTGCTTTGAACCCACAATCCTCCTGTCTCAGTCTCTTGAGTAGCTGGGATTACAGGTGTGTGCCACCATGCCTGGCTTTCTCTCTGCCACTCTTAAGCTCTTTTTTTTTTTGGTACCAGGGATCGAACTCAGGTCCTTGCACTTGTGAGGCAGGTGGCAGAACCACTGAGCTAAATCCCTGGCATATCTCTTCCACTCTTAAGAGAACCAATCTTTTCCTTTTCTAGTATGCGTTCTTGTATGTGTGTTGCTGGGGATGGACCCAGGGCCTTGTACATGATAGGCAAGTGCTCTATCACTGAGCTACACCCTAGCCCAAGAGAAGCAAGCTTATCACATTATCACCACTTCTATTGTATGGTCTGGGTCTGAAATATCCCCCCACCAAAAGCTGGCTGTCCAAGGCTTGGTTGCCAGCTGATGGGTCTGAGGGAGTGATGGGATCCTAGGCTGTAACTTCATCAGGGCAAGTTCATCACGTAGCTGAGAGGGCTGTTGAGAGGTGGGGCCTTCCTGGAGGAAGCAGCTCACTGGGGCTGTGCCTGTGAAGGCTGTGTCTTCTCCCCAGCCCCTTCCTCTGGGCTCTCTATTCTCTGCTTCCTAGCAACCATGAGGTGAGCAGCTTTCCCTGCCACAGCCTTCTGCCAAGATATTTCGGCATCATTTCAGGCCTGAGAGCTATAAAGCCAGCTGACCATGGACTGAAGCCTCTGGATGAAACTCTCCCCCCTTGAAGTTGGTTTATGTCGGATATTTCATCACAACCACAGAAAGCTAACACCTACATGTCTAATACCTACATGTGTCCTCTTTCACATACATGAAGATGTTGCGTGTGTAGTTCAGGGCTTTTACAAGAATTGATGCGAGGGCTGGGGAGATTTAGCTCAGTGGCTCCGCCACCTGTCTTGCAAGCTCAAGGACCTGAGTTTGATCACCCATACCAAAAAAAAAAAAAAAGAATTGATGTGAGCACTGTGAGCAGCCACTCGTTGTGCATAAATACCATTTGAGAGTCATGTGAAAACATGAGTGGTGCAAGCCTGGCACCACATACACACGCACATACACAGAGGCACACGCAAACGAGTGTGCAATTCTGACCCCTTGAGGGTTCCATTGGAGAACAAGGGCTCACTCTGAGCCATGGAATCCTCCTTCAGGCCTGAGCAAAGCAAGCTGAGTAAATAAGTTGGTACACTGGCACACCCCAATGATCTCAGCGTTCTGGGAGGCTGAGACAGGGAAATCACAAGTTCAAGCCCAATCTGGGCAACTTAGTGAGACTCTGTCTCAAAAGAAAAAAGAAATGAAGAGGCTAGAAATGTAGCTCAGTGCAAAGGTCCTGGGTTCAAAACCCATTATCAGAAAAAACAAAAACCCACCCTGGGCTGATAGATAGGAACTTTACCATAACTTTCTGTATAGCCCTGGGAAATTCATTTTCTCTCCTTAAGCCTTCATTTTCTCAACTGCAAAACTGGACAAATAATAGTAGCAACCCATTAATTAGATTTGTTTTATTCACAAAACAATGCACCTACACCAAGACTCGCTTTATTTCCAAGTAAAAGAATCCCAAATGGGACTAACTTTAAGCATAAAAAAAATTGCATAACTGTAAAGACCAGGATTAATAGCTTTGGCACAGCTGCATGTGATGTCATCAGAGGCAACTTTCTAGATTCTGCTTTCTTTCACTCTAGCTACACTCTCAAACAAGGCAGACCAAGTATTTTTCAAACAGCTACAACCCCAAGCCAAACAATCATCTTCTCTACCTTCTTGTGTGTGGGTGGGTTGGGGGTACTGGGGACTGAATCCAAGGCCTTTACACAGACATACATCTTCAGCCTTGTGTTTTGTTTTGGTTTTTTGGTACTGGGGATCGAACTCAGGACCTTGTGGTTTTGAGGTAGGTGGTGGAACCACTGAGCTAAATCCCCAGCCCTGTTTTGTTTGTTTTTTGAGACAAGGTCTGATTAAGTTGCTAATTTGTCCAGGCTGTGCTAGAATTTGTGATCCTCCTGACTCATCCTCCCAGAGTGCTGGGATTATGGATGTGCACCAGCTCACCTGATTTATCTTCTCTATTTTGATGACTACAACAGCCTCTGTCTCTCTCCTCACCCCCACCTCCTACCTCCACTCCCACTCATCTCCACAGTGATGTTTTGTTTTGTTTTTAGACAGGTCTCCCTATGTAGTTCAGGCTGACCTTGAACTCACTATGCAGCCCAGGCTGGCCTAGAACTCGAAGCCGTCTCTTGCCTCAGCTTCCCAAGTGCTGGGATTACAGGTATGTGCCACTAAGCCCGGCACAATAATGTTTTTAAAATGTGAATCAGAACATGACTTCTCTGCTCAAAACTCCCCACCCCTTGCCCCGCCCCACGCTGCCCCGAGCTGGATATCGAACTCAGGACCTTGAACTTGCCAGACAGGCTCCATGCCGCTGAGCTACATCCCCAGCCCTCAAAACTTTTGAATAACTTCTCATTCAAAACATCCAGACACCCCCCCGCCCAACCTCGCAAGGCCCACCTGCCCCTAAAATCTGGCTCAGGACTCATCCCCTGCTTCTCTCCTCCTTTTCTATTGTTCTTCCTGCTTTTCTTCATGTGGGGGTGGGAGTTGAGGATACTGGAAGATGTTCCCTCTGACAGGAACTCATTCGTCCCCGTGGCTAGTTCCTTCGCTTCATTCCTAACACACTTTCCCTTGCATCTGTCTCTCTATGCATCTGTCCTCACAAACCCTAGTCCAGCAGGAAAAACAGAGCTCTCTTGCCCAACAATGTGAATCTAAGCCCAGGGCTGGTTTTCATTGGTCCAGATTGGCTGGGGACGCCCCTGTACTGCCAACCGCTGTTGCCAAGGGGCTGAGATGCTCTGATTGGTTAGGCTCTGGTCAGGAGCCCAAGAGCTGCTGGGAGTGTGAGCTGAGCAGAGGAAGATAATTCCCCTGAGAAACACTGGGGTGCTGTTACCACAAGGGCGAAGTAATGCTGGGCGGAGAAAAAGTGTTTTCAGTGTTTGCCCAGCAGCTGACAGGATAGATAGGAAGTGCTTAAGGGAAAAAAACAAAAACAAAATGAAACAGCCAGTTGCACTGCCTGCAGGAATCCTTTGGGGATTTCCTTCATCAACTTTCATTCATTTAACAAATTTCTATTGATATTACTCATGTCTAGGATTTATCCAAAGGGAATCTGCTACTCCCTTGAATCAAAATGTGATAATGTACTAAATGATGAGACTTGTCTAGAACAACGCCTGGCATTCATTCCACAATATTTATTGGGGTTTTATTAGCAGTGGAGAGGCGAGTAGATGACAGCTACGAACACCACAGGCAGTCTCTCTCCCGCGCCTTCTTCTGGTTTGTTCTATAGGAATAAAGGCAGAGTCAAAAAGAAAGTTCATTTAAGACACAGGCCACTTATGAAACACACCTTCCAGGGAGAAATATGAAATGTCCGGGGCTCCCCTTTAAGGAACAGCCTTTTGTGCCTTTGGAATTGTGTACTTGTGTTAATCATTTTTTAAAAGCAACGCTATAATAAGCTACATGACACCCAGTGGAATGGCTGAAGGTCAGAAGATTGGAAACGTCAAATGCTTAGGGAGATTTTGGGGAACTCCAACCTCCAACTTGCTGGTGAGAAGATAAACTGATATAATCACTTTCAACAACAATTGGTTTGTTATCAAGTTAAACATACAACTACCCTATGACTCAACAATTCTTTTTCCCCCGAGAAAGAAAAACCCATGTCTTTTATATTAAGGTGAAATTTATCTCGGGTGAAAGAAATTAGAACAGTAGTATGGGATGTGAGGTGTGGATTCACTGGGAAGGGTTCCAAAAGAACATTCTGGGAAACTAGTAAATGTATCTTGATCAGGGTGTGAGTTACAGGCGACTTTCACTTGTCAAAACTCACAGAACTGAGTACACATTGTACATAGGTACTGAACTATCACTCTACTCCGTATTTAAGAACACTTATGACTTCACTACAAATAAACATAATAATATATGGTAAATTAGATTACGAAGTTGTCCTCTGGGGAATAAACCAACTCAAGGAACTGGAAGTACATGTTCAAGTTCTGCGAATTTCTTTGAATGCAGATTATATCTCAATTTTTAAAAGGTCATCTGGCAAGGATGGCTAGGGGAAGTTACAGCGCCCAGGGGAAATGTACCACAGGGTGACTCCGGGAGGGTGTGGATGGCCTGGAGGTCAGGGCAGGCCCTCCTGAGAGAGATTCAGAGATGGGGGACCAGAGTCTGTGCGAAGAGGGATAGGGAGGAGAAGGAACTCAGAACTTGAACCTCAGCTTCTCTGGGAGACCTCTCAAAGACACGTAGTCCGTTAGTCACTTTAATCCGGCAGCTGTCTCCGGTGAGGTTTCACGTTGAATCTTTCAGTGACCCTTCGCCATGAGAATTTCGGCTCCCCTTTTTCCAAGTGAGTAAGGAACTAGGACGTGGCGGAAGCCGGGCGTTGGCGCTGCACCTTCGATGTCGGTTTCCCCGAGGCAGAACCTGAGGACTGTAACAGCAGACTCCCCGGGTGGCGAGGCCGGGGCCCAGGAATGTTTCACGGGACAAAGGCGGGGTAGGTGCCCGAGCAGAGCACCCACGCCCAGCCGCCGGGCAACAGGTCCCCAAGAGCGGCGTGGCCCGGGACGCCCCGTCTGCTGCACCGCGCGGATTCTGCTGCAGAACAATGAGGGCCGGTGTGGCGTGGCGTGGCGTGGCGTGGCGGGGAGGGGTATGTGAGTGTGTGTGTGTGTGTGTGTGTGTGTGTGTGTGTGTGCGCGCGCGTGTGAGCGCGCTGGATTGAGGGGCGGGGCTCAGGCCCGGCGACGCGGGGCCTCAGGGTCCGGTGCAGAGTAGGGCGACTTGGTCCCAGTGCGACCGCAGCCGGGACTGGGCCCTAGGGGGGCGGGGCGAGGCGCCGGGTGGGCAGAGCCCTGCGTGGAGGAGACGGGGCTGGGGCCAGAGACTGGACCCCAGGAGGAAGGGCAGGGCCGGGGCACGGTGGGGCGGGGCCCTCTCTGGAAGGGGCGGGGCCGAGCTCTGGACTG